AAATAGCACTGCAAGTCATATACGATACCGTCATTATGCTGTGAGAATCCCGCAATATTATTCAATGAAAATGCGAAATCTAATGAAACACAATATCAAGCTTACATTTCTGCAAATAGCACTGCAAGTCATATACATATATATATATATATATATATATATGTATATAAGCCAAAGTTATATTCTATTAGTTCTTCAGGATCATGTGCAGTTTCTGTAAAAGCACCTGGTCTCACAAAATGACGCCCTTTATCCGATTGAACCCCTAAAAGCGAGAAAGAAGAGTTCACAACCCTTGCCGTGGATACTGGCAACGAAGCCAGAACCGGTTTGACCGGTCGTCCTGGCCAATCGTTAAGCGAGGAATCTCGCGGCGGTTTCAGAGGTCGAACAAAAGCCCTGAGGAAAAATGCCGGGACAGCTGCGCGTTTTATAGGCGGAGCTTCAGAAATCCGCCGATTCCCATTGGAATAAATCCACCATAAGATTCTTCAAAGTATCTCACGGATATGGACAAAACCCTGCAGCATCCATTAACATCGATTCAAGAAAATACCAAAAGAAAAAAAAAGCACTATCGTTAACAGATCTTTCATACCGATATCCTGGACCATACCCACTTACCGGTGAGCATTACAGTAATATTCCAAGACCAGATAAAAGAATCAAAGGAAAAGTAAGCAAAGTCCCGACTTCCGGGACCGCGAAAGGACTAACTTAAGATATCTGCGTGGCGGCAGTAAAAAAATAAAAAAATAACGAAAGAAAAGGAAAACAAAGAAAAGCCTAAGAACCTAATCCTTAAATCGCAATAAAACCGGCTATATTGTCGTATAAGCAGCATCCAGACCTGAAGTCTGGAACCTGTGCCTAAACTAACCTAAAGTCCATCAACGTAGTCAGGATGGCCTAACATCCTCTGTACTACGATGGTATGGGGGGAAAAAACTAGTAGGGACTGTACAGTTTTCGAATTTTCTAGTACCGAAGTACGAACGTGGGTCTTGTTTACGATATGGATTTTCCTAACGGAAGTTAGCTTGACGGTACCAATGTTAGTGCGCGAATACGTACTGAATGCGCGAGGGATTATCGAGGCGTCTTCGATGTTATTGTTAGGAAGAACAGAGTATATAACACAACGTGGGTTTAAACTCTAATGCGGCTAAGTGCGCTGTAAAGTAGTAAAGGTCCTTGCCGAGTCCTGGTGTAGTTTAACCTGATGTAGAGAGAAAGAGAAAGAAACTAAGTAGTACAGGCAGTGAAGACGAGACTGTGCATTATTTTTTAGTTGGTAGTGTCAGTGGGTTTTGGTGGAAGTTTAGGTAAATTGGTTATAAAGATTGTGACAAAGATGGGACATGGTGGAAATGGTAAAATAAGAGAAAGAAAATAAGTATAGGTATAGTCACTTAAGTACCTGAAAAAAGGTACGACATATTCGCAGGTCCTGCCGCCTCGTAGATTACCATGTAGTAAAACAAAAATATTGTCCATGGTACCGATTTAAAAGGTACTTTTCGTACCAGTGCTCTAGGTACAAGTACTACGGAGCGAGAGTTGTAAAAGTGCGAAAAACGTGGTGTCATTAATGCCTACCCGTACTTCATTCCTATTTAATATAACGCTATTCGTCATTGTATACTCAACAAATGAAATTGAAAGAGCTTCGACTCACGTAGTCTTTGAAGAAAATGTATAATGCGTATCGAAAACTCTCAATTTTTGCGCGTCTAGTCGTTTTTGAAAAACCTCGAAAATCAAAACAGTTTTTAAATAGCGTCCTTCCGAAATCGCGAGGTGAAGCGATTTTCTATATGATAAAATTATCGTTCGCAATTTGTACACCGGTCTTATCTTCATGGTGTCTACAGATTTTATCGCTTCTCTACCTTCTGTCACTTGAAATTAGTAACTGTCAGACGCCGAAGATCGAGATCGAATATTTCTTGAAGAAGAAAAGAAAATTATGACCGCTTATAAAGTTTACAAAAAAAGATTCTGATAAAATCCATGCGAGATTGAACGGTGTCGCGTGTCAGTCGCGAGGCAAGCACTTTGACAGGATATTTACGGTTTGTTTACGCCGCTGGAGTATGCCGTCGTGGTTTATGCTTGCCTATAAATATGGTTCACATTGTAAAGACGCCCAAGAGCTCTCTCCTCTTTCCTGCTGGCATCTTCTTCCTCTCTTCTCACGCTTTTTATACCCGCGGCTTACGAGTGCAAGAAAAAAAAAGAGTCACAAACCAGGAAAAAAACAATTCTACACGAGTCAATTGAAAGTCACAATTTTTAGGAAATTAAAAAAAAACTTTGTCTCGAAAATCATTTGAAAAGTCACGTGACTGATTTTGAAAATGAAAAACATCATTCCTCCTAACCCGTATTACGGGGATTTATCTATCGCTCGGAAGAGACGTAGAGTTATCATGATAATTCGTAGTAACCTTAGTGGTACGTTTAATTACATTTAGTCACGACGGTAATATTAATCCAAAAGACGATAACTACAATTGGCTAGGTATTCCTATAGTGCTTGGATCTTCATGGGGTACCATGAA